TGCTTCTCACTGGTGGATATTTGTTGGAGCTGTTTTCTGTCCTCCAGCGGTCCAACCACTGCTGACTTTTTGTCTCATGCATGGTTCTGTATTCTTGCTGCAGTATTTTTCCTTTGTCTCCTGCCTGCTGTGTGGAGAACAGTTTTTGCTGTTTTAGACTTTCAATTCAGTTTTCTACTTTAAACCAGATTTTCTCTCGCAAAAAGAATCCCTTCACAATCACATGGGTATTTGACTACTCAACAGATATTACATGAACACAGTAAACAGCAAATGAGCCCTTTTTAAGGGCAATTTAAAGGTGATTATATGGAGTCTTTCAGTTTATCAGCCTGAAGAATAAAACTACTAATGACTCACAACTACTATGATCTGTGATCTGCAGGATTGAAGCATTAAAAAAGACATACTTATGAATTAAAAACAATAATTTAATTTGTTTATTTCAACAATTTTTTTAGCATTCTGAAGCTTCATTTTGGTATATTTTACACCACTTGGTCTAACTGATTTCATTACTATTAAAATAATGATATTTTATGTATGTGAGCAGGTAAAGCTTTCTAAATTAGCAGGAATGATCAATTAAGGGCAATAGGGTGTGGATAACTTATTTAATATGTGTGGATTCGGGCGTATGCATATCTACATGCCCCCTCTTTTTATTGAGCCACACAGATTGCAATACAATAGCACAAAATACATTACATTCTGTGTAGAGAACAAGAGCCAGGAATTGTGGGTAAATGTTACCAGTTGTATTAGTTTGATAACGTTAGTGTCATAAATCTGTATTAATAGATTATTTTCCACCACCTGAGTGCATTAGATTTCCACAACAAAGCTGACAAACCAACATCCCTGACATATTATCACCTCAAAAAGTTATGACTACTTACACATCCAACAGACACAGAGATTTTCTTCTGTTGAGACTGAACTGCGCAGTAAATGTGCCATAAAACCAAAACTATTAGCTAAAAGGAGCTGAGTAGAGGATAACTCTCTGCGGGTTTGTCACTGCAACACAGCCCTCAAATTACATCGTCTCTTGATTGAATGTCAGTATATAACACTGACTACTGGAGCTTTAAGAACACCACCATTAGCACCTTTACTAGTGTTTCAATCCTGTCACATCAATCAGTTTTTCCATTCATTGAACAATAATGCCTGAACTCGACCATCCTCCAGCAACAATTTGTGCAGCCGGGACCCAGCGGCCTGCAAGTCTTGAAACCTGAGAACAGATGTTTCTTCTCTGGGGGTTCTCACATGTTGACCAGGGAATTAGGTGCTTTTTGTAGCTGTTAGCAGGTGACTTGTGACTACAGCTAGAATTAGCACCTGTGAAGCCATCAAGCTATCAAATTGCCCTCGAGCGAGTCACCAGATCGTGAAGTGAAACAGGACTGTTGTACCACCATTCATCATGCGGTTGACATCTCCGGTGTCAGCTCTCTCAGAATGAACGGTTTGTGTGCTGAAGATAGCTGCCACTGCGATGCCTGTGTCCACCCCAAAACAATGCAGATGGATGGAATTTCATTGGTGGTGCTTAAAGCATCGACAATTTACAAGTTTAGTATTGACACATTCTTTCGCAGTTAATCTACTTTCATTGGAATTATTTTCAACAAAAGATGACTGAAAACACCACTATCTGTAAACTATAAGTTGCCTTTGGTTTAGCTGCATCAAGTAAAAGTGTTCTGCATTCAGTTTTTAGGCTTTTTTGTGGTATTCTGAAAGTTTTGACCGAGAGCCTTTAGCCATCAAACATGATTTCACAAGCTGTGTTTCTGGGCCACATATAGCTGCTAAGTGGGCTTCTTGCCTCTTTGGTTCTTCTCCACCTTCCTTATCTCGTGTCCTCCAACTGTGACCTCCTCAGTCTTTTCCTAGCTTCCTCTTCTTCTTTCACTCTCTGTCACTTTCTCTACGTCACTCATTTCCTCTCTCTGTCTGCCATTTCCTTCATCTCCCTCTCTTTTCTTTGCAACACATTCCTCCCATCCATAAGGTCTCTCCTCTTTTCCTCTACCACATTTTCCTCTTTAATATAATTTAAAATTTTCTTCCTCCATCTTTCTCATCCCTCTTTCCATCTCTCTGCATTTAATGTAGCCTCTCATATTTTTGTCTCTCATTTTTGCCACCCAATCATCTTCCTCCTTTCTCAGTCCTTTCTTCCTACCCTTCCCCCCCTTTCAGCTTCCCCCCCTCTGGCCTCATTTCTCTTCGTTATTCTTCCTTTCTCTTTGTATCCGCCCCTGCATCCCTCCCATCCTTTCGTTCTTTTCCTCTTTCTTTCTCTTCAGCCACCCAGCCACAAGAAAAATAGATGAATGTCTCATTGGTGATATATAGCCTGCTTCCTCCCCCTCCATCCTCCACCGCCTGAGGGGGGAGGAGGAGGAGATCTATGCAGCTACATATATGAGGCTAGAAAAGTAGCCTGAGTCAATGAATTATGGTTTTGTTGCATTGTTGGTTCCATTTCCATTAATGCTGTGATTTTCAGTGACAACATATTCTGCTGTTTTTGCTCTTGGATATTTTAGTCCTGTTGTCTCTTGATTCACTGTCCTAGAATAAATCATTCATTCATTTAAACTGCATAAAATATCTTCTCAAGCTTTCCCAAGTTATTTTGCTTCTGTGATTTTACACAGAAGCAAACAGAAATAAGATTCTCATTTCCAGCCCACAACCGTAGATTTTGTTGGCTGAAAAGATGACTGAAAAGCTTGTTTTCAGTTTTATCCAGGTAACTAATTAACATAACATAAAGTGACCATGTTTTCAAACCCCCAAAATGTACCACACATTGATGCATGTTTATGCACTTATGCACGCACCATAGGAATTTTCAATTTTCATTTTCATCAGGATGGGTGAGATTTGTGTCAGCACTTAGCACATCTACCAAGTGCATCTTTCAACGCCATGGATGCCAACGCAGAGTTCACAGCATACCCAGGATATCTTTTGGTTATCTGGCTTCACTAACCCTAACAATTACGATCGGGATAAGCGGTACCGCAAAGCTGGTTATCAACTTGGTTAATCAAACCAATGGTTTCCCAATCCAGCTGTGAGCGTGTTCGCCATGAATGCCTAGATGAACAGGCATAGCCTAGTCTATAATAGGCTAGTGCGTTGATTTGATGTGTTCTTATGAGCTGTATGAAAACATCAGCCTTATTCTTTCAGCTCAGCTGTGTGTCGGCGTTTCTACATTAAAAGACTCGGGCACTGAATAAGTGGTCGTTCCACTTCACTTTAAAAAACTTCTCATCACTTCAAAAATCAGATTCATTTATTAACTCACTCAAAAGTGATTAAATTTTTTTCTAAATTAACTTCATAAAGCAATGAAACGAAAAATCCATTGATGCCACAAAATGTGCTCAAATACTGGTTAAAAGACCTCAATACCGGCGCCTACATCGCAAAAGGTGGGGCGGACCATGACCCGTGTCTGTGATAGACTATAAGACAGCTACTAACCTGAAATAAATAGCCTACTTTCATATTACCATTTATTTCTATATCCCTACCAAACCGCTCATAATATTCAGCCTCACATAAGAAAAATTAAACCCATTTATTTTAATGGCTGTGACAGACTGTGTGAAATGGACTTGGAGGAAATAAAAAATAAAAAAGCAGTTAGTGGGCTTACTGTAAAAACCTATAATATAAACTTACAGGGCTTTTATAGAAGTCTCTGTAGGATGATATCACTATAGCCTACAAAGGTTTCTCCACATCACCACAGCAAACATAAAAGCAGCCTATAAAACAGTCTGTGAGATCTCCTACAGAGGGTGATGTCATTTTCCAAGAGAGTTGAATGGTCAGTAGGCGCCGTTTTTATAGAGGTGATCTCTTATCTGGAACATCACCTGCTCCGGAGCAGGTTAGCCTTCAGCATAAGTTACCATGGCGATCTACCCCGTTAAGAATGAATCACAGTTGTGGTGCTGAAAACCAGAGTTAACCTTGAAGTTATCTGGATAAACTCAAATCCTGCTTCGTGGTACAGGCCCCAGTCCTTATATACTTCTGTTACTTTC